TCACCCACGACCTCACCGACCACCTCACCCACGACCTCACCGACCACCTCACCCACGACCTCACCGACCACGTCGCCAACGACCTCGCCGACTACGTCGCCAACGACCTCGCCGACTACGCCGCCCACTACTTCGACAGCGCCAGACATCACGACGACAACGGCACCAGGCACGACTACGAAGAAGCCGTACAACTACAGGCGGGGAATGGGCGTTCAATGACTGCAGGCCTTGATTTTTTCTGCACCTTGAGTCACCATACAAGGCAAAAGGATGCAAAAGGTTTTGTCATGTTGTAGCTTCACCGCGATTGGGGAAAGCAAACTGAAAGCTCAAGTCAAGGACGTAAGCATGGACAAAGGAGAGATTCGGTCCTCACGTCACAGTTGTCTCTCAACCTGATCCTTGGACTCGGTGAAACTGACGCAAGGGAAAGGTCGCCTTTGTGGCATGGCGCAGTCTTTGTAACCACCCCCACCTGCGGTGGTGCCGGCGCCACATATTTTGTCACCGTGTGCCCCGTCAGGTGTCCGGTGTCCGTGCCATCTTGCCACAGTTGGAGCTGGTGCCATGCTCAGCCATTTCGGGCCACGTAGACAAGCCCAAGCAGTGGGCGACCATCTTGAATGAGGCCGGGGGTGCTCAAGGCAGCCATGTAACCAGAAGTGGTTGGCTACCATTCCATGTTGCCAGGCTAGCCCCGCGCCCAGCAGTCAGCACTTGGACCTGTGTCTTGGAGATCACAGCGGGTGAGGAGAATATTCCACCAGCGCGCTGTCGTGATTGTGGCGGTGTGAGGTGGTGAAGTCCTTCTGATGAAGTGGAGCGTTGGCTTTGTTTGCTTCATCTTGGGCTCAGCAGTTCTTCTTGCTGGCGCTCGTGTAGTAGCACAAACTGCCTGGTAGCAGCTTTGGTGAGCCGTTCAGGCTCCTTGCAACTGGCTCGTTGCCTTGGCAGACTACTGAAGTCATTCATTGAGCTCTCTTGATCAAAGGGTTGGCTCGTGTGATGTGCCTCAGTATGTAAGTGAATTTTTCTTGCGTCGTCCGTGATCAGCCTCAGCATGGATCAACCTTAGCCGGGAGTGCTCTGACGCACGGAGGGTGGTGGTGGTTTTGTACACTCTGCTTTGCGCACATGGCCCGCGAAGCTGGTTGGTCTCCAATTGTCCAGTCTGCCCGCGATCAGTCAGTCAATTTTCAGGCTGTCATCATCGACAGCTGCTCATCATGGGCTTTTTTTTGCTAGATGTAGGGCCCTCGCCCGAAGTTTTCCTGAGCTCCTCAATTCAGCAACCGCCACCAAAGTCACGACAAAATCTGCGCGTTGAACCTGACCCCCGGACGACTTGCACGGCTGCAAGCTTAAGGCGGTGCCCCTCGCAGTAAGTTTCTTAATT